TGTACTCTCTTGATCTCTGGCTATCCATTTGACTAATCTAAACGTTAGTCCGGCCACTCTAAGGTCCGGTATACGTTCTTCTCTGGGTTACACTCTGTGAGAAGGGGTCACTGTCGTGACACAACCAATCTGGTGGTGTGTTAATACCAAACGACCATCGTGTATAATTTTGCTGAAAATTCCGTGGGATTGAAGTACGATAAACTAACAGTGGCTATTGTTTCTCCAGCGTGTTACTTTTTTTTCTTGGTTTTAGAGAAGACATAAAACAGAAATCTGGAAATGCTATAATCTGCAGCTTTGCACACATGCTGCTTGACCGAGAAAAGACTACGCTAGTCTTGAAAGGTCATATATAAAATATATTTTGCTACTCAAAATAAAACAGGCAACACCTGATATTAAACCACTCGCTCATTTCTGCACCACAATATTGGCTCGGAGTTGGCAAGCAATCAGTGTCACTACTTGCATATGAGAAAGTGCTCTGCACAGCTGCCACCTCATCTAATATTTACCCTAACCTCATTATTTTACTTGTGTGTAGGCTGAATGTTTGTATAAATAGTGTCTAGATCCAAATTATTTAATTGCTTAAAGCTGATTGTAAAAATATGTTATGCGTTGCAATATTGTTTTTGCAACCGTGGTCCTGGTAGCTTATTTGGGGTAATAGTTTGAGAATTCTACTGGGCTACAGGAATAAAAATTATTTATTGTGCTCCCCAGTCTATTGTGATTTTAATATAGTTGCTGGTATACAGTTCCATTGATACTCCCACCAAAAAAAAGGACTTTTTTTAGATTAAAAAATCATGATCTTTTTTTTATATTCCTTTTTAATTTCAGTTTGGGTGAGCATCGATAGGAAATATAGTCCACAAACATCTGGTTGGTAAATATTAGTTATCACTGTCAGGTAAACTGAAATTGCAACATATAGAGGAAATCCCTGTATTTGCTCTGAAAATACCATGCTGATATTCAGCAAATCCAATACTTTACCAAAATAAGCAGTAATACTGTCTGCTAATTCACTTGCTCAAAAAAATATATGCATTTTGATACCTAGTAATCATTGATGTCTCAGATTTAGGTTTTGGACATAGCTTGAGGGTTTATATATATTGAGAGCATAATTAGTAGGGAGTGGCGGAGAGAAGGATATAGGGTCCAGGATGATGAGTGTAGAGGGAGAATTTACTGTCGGAGATAGTTACATAGTTAGATGGCTGAAAAGAGACTTCCGTCCATCAAGTTCAGCCTTCCTCACACGCAGTTTTTGCTGTTGATCCAAAATAAGGCAAAAAACCTAGTCAGAAGCACTTCGAATTTTGCAACAAACTAGGAAAAAATTCCTTCTTGACCCAAAAATAGCAGTGAGATATCTCCTTGGATCAAGCAGTTATTACCCCACTAATTAGACATTATATCCCTGTATGTTTTTGCAAGTATTTATCCAATTGCAGTTTAAACATCTGTATGGACTCTGATAAAATAAAGATGATGTCAAGTGGGCAGAAATTGTGGTATGGAGGGCATCACGATGAGGGTGGTTGGTAAATAGTTACAGACACATCTATGAAATAAAATCATGGGAGCTATTTGAACCATAACATACAGCACGGGTCGGCAACCTTCGGCACTCCATGTGTTGTGGACTACATCTCCATTAATGCTCTTACAGCCATAATGGTGGCAAAGTATCAGGGGAGATATAGTCCACATCTGGAGTGCCGAAGATTGCCAACACCTGACGTAAAGCAAAAAAGCATAAGTTCCAAAAATACTTGTACTGTCTTTTTAACCTGAATTCAATCAGCTCTAGATATATCCGTGAACATTAGAGCAAGCTGAATGCACGTTACCTTGTTAGATGTTGATATTATAATAGTTGATTTATAAATTAACAGCAATCAGGCTCTTCTGGTTTTGTGCTAAAAAAAATGGATTGACCATATAGAATTTTTCTGTGCTTTAGGTACAGGCACTGTTGGACATATAATCTGTGTTAGGACATGAATGAGATTAGAAGGCTTGCTCGGTTTTAGAGCACTGTTTCTGAAGGCTGTACTCTGGGAACAGCTGTAAGTTATACTCGCGGTGAATTGGTGTGCCCTGCCAAGAAACATACGCTCGAGTAGCATAGGATATATAACAACAAGAGAACTTCATATGTAGAAAACTACGTGTTAAAAGCAGCCAAGGCAGGGCCAAAGTAACTGGTGGGGAGAGACCAGGCCAGTGATGACTAGAAAGGATTAGTAGTCTTATAGAATTCGATTTAATGATTTCTGAGCTAACGCTTTGGTGGGATAGGTTGCTGCAGAGTTTAAAAAAAGGAGGAGGCGGGGGAAAGACACAAAAAAAAAAGGACTATATCGCATATTTAAAGCCAGTGATTGCATGAATAGTTAGCAGTGATATTCAATATGAAAGTGTTTTGTAGATGGTGTTATTTAATTTAAAAAAGAATATTTAATGATAACATGTGACAGGAGAAACAGGAGACATTTACTAAGCAAAAACAGGAAACCTTTTTTGGAGCCCCTTGATAACTGCTGTCGTTACAATGTAGTCACGTACATTATAAATTATGAGGAATATTATTAGTCGGGGTGATTAGTTATCCGAGTGGTAATTATTGTCACACCTCTGTGATTGTGGTGCCCTTTTTTTTATATATCCTGTGTGATTATATTTGAACACTACATCACTTTTACACAAAAATGTATGTGTGTGAGTATATATATATATGAAAATGTTAGTCTCTGTCACCACCTTCATATGTTGCCATTGTTTTGACTATGTCCTCAAGAATGAGCTTTTTGATTGTTCTATCAACTAGATACCATCAACCAGATTTTCGGAGCTGGATAAATCCTGTACTTTATGTAGTTTCCTGGATAGCAATGTCCATTCTCAAAAGTTTCAGAACCAACATCTTTAAGTTTCATTGTCTTCTTCAACATGGTGGCCATTAAGATCTACCTCTAACATGCTATATTGGATAGATGACTCCTTACTTTAATAAGCAGTCGACTCTTCGGCATAGCTTTTTAATTTTTTATTAGTTAACGGCAATTTGTAAGAAAGTAAAGTCGGAACACGGCCAACAACAATGTTATTACATCAATATTTCCCTTATGTGCAGAACTACTGAATGAGTTTTCAAAGACGTTCAACAATTATAGGCTTGTAATCTCAAAGACGAGATTAGAATTCTGTGTGGGACATTTAAACAACAGACCATTAACTACTTACCTTTAACACTGTTATACATTCTGTCATTAAAACTCAGCCGCCATATTATCCGTCATATCTGTCACACGTTTTTGATAGTTAACTAGTATTGTATATTTTCATCTTTAGTTTGGGCCAAAAACAACACTCCGTTAAGCGTGAGTAACTAAGCGTAAGGCTTATGGCGCTTTTTAACGGTTACGTAACTCATTAGCCCTGATTGTCCATGAACGCCGTTAATGAATTCAAGAAAAGAACTGAAGGCAAAACTAATGCTTAAATAATATTTCTATCTTCTGCTGCCAACATTTTTCATTCTGAAAATAATGATGCATTTGCTCTGGAGACTTTAAGAAGAGGTCATAGATTGGATTGATATACGACTGGGACGTATTCCGTTGACAAACTGGCACGCGCACAACTATTTTAAAAAACTGTCAGCCAGCAATTAAACGGTGTTCTCAGTCAGGCTGTGTGTTGTAGTTATAGGCGTCATTCTCAATTGTGAGTCTTTTTAAAGTATGATTTGGTAAGTAAGTAAGATTGTAATTTGAGCAAGAAATCGCTGTGCCCACTTATCCAGGGGACCAAAAACAGCTCTCTCGCAGACAGAAATGTAAATGTGTGTCCTGCATCAGATGTGAGCATGCATAATGATAAATACTATTGCAGGAGATTTTTATCATTTAATATGCATAGTGCATATGAACAAGTAACATATTACGAGCTTCCACACAGTGATTTTAAAGGGACATTAAGCACCATAACAACTGCCTCTTTCTAAAGTGGTTATGGAGCAAATACCTTTTCCCAGCAAATACCTTTTCCCAGTCCAGCCGTGATCACCTGGCTATCAACATCCATGTAGCTGAAGATATAAAAGGACCCTGTACACCACAATCTGACAGAGTTGAACCACAATAAATCTTCCAGCAGTTATTATTATCAATAATATTTACAAAGTGCCAACACATTCCACAGCACTGTACAATGGGTGGACAAAGAGACAAGTATTTGGACAAACAGAAACAGAGGGGGTTGGTTGGCCCTGCTCAAATGGGTTTAAATTCTATGAGTATGTCACAGAGCTCCTCATCACTAAAACTAAAATTAATGTGAGTTGTGTATGAGTATGTCACAGAGCTCCACAGCAATCAAACTCATTCTAACATAGAACAGAACAACTACTTTTAGAGTCAAAAGACTTGAAGACTTGAGACGGGTGATGAGATGCATTCTGTTCCTGCTGTCTGGACATTTTTCTACTTCCTTTTCCCACTACTGGGAAAAGTAGCCTTTCCCCAGACCCAGCAACCGTCTATGTGTTCCACAATCAAAGTTATTTATTGAAGCAAGAATTCAAAATTAATTTCAATTTAAGGCCAGAATAGCCAAACTAAAATTATACTGTAGCTGACTTAGACTTTTTCTCCACTTCGACCATTTTGACCCTTAAAGCTGCACTATCCCTCCTCCACCCTCATCTCCCCCACAAAATGAGTATTTCATACTGATACAATCTTTACCACTCAAAAAGATTTTAAAAAGTAAAAATCAAAAGATATCACGTTTCTATTGATTTCAATAACTTATTGCTAATTACTAAACTATTGCAATAGATGCCCAATATATGTGGGGCTTAGTGATGTCCCGAACGGTTCGCCGAACGGTTCGCCGAACGGTTCGCCGAACGGTTCGCGAACGGTTCGCCACGGACTCATCATAGAGTAAACTTTGACCCTGTACCTCACAGTCAGCAGACACATTCCAGCCAATCAACAGCAGACCCTCCCTCCCAGACCCTCCCACCTCCTGGACAGCTCACAATAAATGTAAAATGGATGCTGTCCCGGAGGTAGGAGGGTCTGGGAGGGAGGGTCTGCTGCTGATTGGCTGGAATGTGTCTGCTGACTGTGAGGTACAGGGTCAAAGTTTACTCAATGATGAGTCCGCGGCAAACCGTTCGCGGCGAACCGTTCGCAAACCGTTTGGCGAACCGTTCGGACATGACTAGTGGGGCTATATATATATATGCCCAGCGATCCATCGGTGCTATAGTGGGACACCATTCTCCGGATATCCATTTAATGCAGAACATTCATGTCGGATATGGGATACCTACTTTGAACAACAAGGATTTTATTTACATTAAAGCCAGAGGATTTTTACCAATTTGCTTTCTACAATTCCTTGGAACTTCTTGTACTGACTGTTGTTTCACCCACCAGTCCACCAACCAATCCATCTATTTAAGCAAGCATTTAATCTATTTAAGCAAGCATCACCTGCAGGCCCGGACAGGCCATCGGGTACATGGGCAAATGCCCAGTGGGCTGCGATGGCCATGGGCCGAGATCGGCAAGGGAGGTCACAGGATCTCCCCTGCCGGTCCATGCAGCACCGACCCTGCTCTATTCCATGACGGGCCGGTGGGGTGATCAAAGATCTCCCTCACAGGGCCACATGCAGTATATTATGGCCGTCGGCTGGGCGGGGAGACAGCCAGGAGAGGACCTGGAGGAGATTTATCTATATTGCAACGCTCCGGGTCTCGCAAGAATGAACTCTAGCCCCACAGGCTAGAGTTTACTCACCACTAGCACCACCAAGGATGGCAGCACAGTCCCCCCACCCAGGCTAAAAGTAAGAAGGGAGGGGGAATACAGTGCCTGTTTGTTTGTTTTTTTATTTAAAAAAAGAAATACATTTATATTGGCATTGAACTGCCAGCCCCAAACACACAATCCTTCCAAACACACACAGCACCCTCATTCGCACACACAGCACCTCACACACACAAAGCACCCTCACACACACACATCACCCTCACACAGCACCCTAGCACACACACACACCCTCACACTACACCCTAACACATACAGCACCCTCACTCATACACACTGCACACCTCATACACACATTATACTCCTCTCAAATACACACTACACCCCTCACACACACACTGCACCACTCACACATACTCACAGCAGCCCCCAAACACACTGCACCACTCACTCACACAATACTTCCAAACATATATGTATATATACTACAGAACCCCTCACACACATACTGCACTCCTAAACACATTACATTCCAGACACACACTAGATACCTTACCCAACTCTGGATCATCTACACATATACACACACTAGATCCCTTTATACACTCTGAATCCTCTACACACTTAGTAGATCTCCTAGACACACTCTGGGTCCTTCAAACACACACTAGATCCCTTTATACACTCTGAATCCTCTACACACTTAGTAGATCTCCTAGACACACTCTGGGTCCTTCAAACACACACTTGATCCCATATACATAAATACTGCACCACTTACACACATAAACACACCCTACATTTCTATCATACACACTTAGGATCCCCTATGCACATAGTAGATTCCTTGTAAGCAAACACATACTACATTCCCTAAACACAAACTCTCTACAACCCCTACACACACTACATCACCTATACACACACACTACAGCCTGTATGCACACATTCGCTACATCCCCTATACACACTATGCTCCCTATACACACACTCTCTGCAACACCTAGACACACATACATTACATTACACCACAAATACAACATGACTGAAACCAATCTATTAACACAATCCCACACCACAATCAGCTCACTCTACACACACGCAATCACACATGCAGGCTCCAAACACACGCACAGTACTCTTTCCTGGCATTTTTGTCTCCTGGTATCAGATTTATGGAGACACCAGAGTCAAGTTTCAAACAAACACAACGCAAGCATGTTATTCAATTTGCTCTGCTATGCAGAACAAATACAGGCCCTTTTTCCCATGCTAGAGCTCTTCAGCATAGCTCTGCACATGGTCTGACCTGGAAGAGCATTGAACCAACTTGCTCACTTTGAGATGGGGCGTGCTTGACATTGGGGATGACAAAGCACATCCTATCTGTTCCACCCTCTTTTCAGTGGGCCGCTGTGATGAAAAGATGCCTGAGCCGAATTTTTTTCCCAGTCCAGCCCTTACCACCTGGCTATCAACATCCATTAGTTTTATCTTTTGAGGACACTGGTTTAATCGTATTTTGTTCAGGTCTTATTTTATTGTTGTGGTATATACATACAGTGTTGCTTACTATAATATTTTATGCTACTATATTCGTATCCTTTTTAGGAGTTATTGGTGTTGCCTCTTTACACATACTATTTCAATCCTGTTTAATTTTAGCAAGATCTTAGTCTTTAATTCCTTCATATTCCATGACTTTTCTTGCATCATCTCAGAAATCTCTTTCCGTACTAATGGCTTCTAATTAACCCCAATCAATTAGCCTGTCCAGTGCCAGGGGGGGTTAATTATATCACCTCTGGAAGCATGTGGGTACGAATTCTTTCTAAAAACCTCACTCATTCAGCTGACAGTACTCGTGGTTGTTTTGAAACCCATCAATCAGTTGAAGTTTAGTTTTGCTGACTGATAAAGGATCCTGAGCGAGAATTACTTGGCTTGCCTTGCCTCGTATGATAATTGCGGCGAAGCTGCCTTTGACGTAAGCGTATTCATTTTTTCCTGGCTATGTTGACGGCCGTGGATTATCAAGCAAAGTGAAATTTGGCATAAGCGTTCCTTGATTAGCCAATTATTACAGGAGGTTTGGAGTAAGTGGTTTGTGCGTGTGAAATCTCTCTTCGGATCAAGTTAACAAGTACCTACTATGTTTTGTTTGCTGGCAGGCTGTTATTCGAAAGAAAAATCACACTGTTTCCAGCGAGATCTACCCTGACGTTGGCACATAGCTGTTTCGTGTGACTATAATATTAGGACACAGTCAAAATTATTGTTTCAATAAGTCTATACAGCCACATAGAGACACATACCCCACAACATTTCAGATGGACAAACAGGGACACTGTAGTTTTAGGGATGTAAGTGGGAGTGTGGGCATGGAGAGGAAAATGACTGATAACGTGCAAAAAGTTTAACAGCTTGTCGTTTAGCTGGTTCCCAATCTCATAAAAGATACAGCAATCCTAGACAATTATTTTCTGTCTCTGAGTTCTTGCCGAGCACCAATGAAAACAGTACTTTTTGTCACCTCTAGATATCTCGAGAATGAGAAATATTTCCCCAGTAACTGATACTTTTCTGGAACCTAAAATGATATTATTCACATATAGCATTTAATATTAATTATTTATGAAAATGTTAAAAGCCTACAAGGATGAAAATCATTCCTCTAGGGCTGGTAAATAGTCATTTACATTACTTTACTGAGAGGGTAGTGGATGCATGGAATAGCCTTCCAGCTGAAGTGGTAGAGGTTAACACAGTAAAGGAGTTTAAGCATGCGTGGGATAGGCATAAGGCTATCCTATCTATAAGATAAGGCTAGGGACTAATGAAAGTGTTTAGAAAATTGGGCAGACTAGATGGGCCGAATGGTTCTTATCTGCCGTCACATTCTATGTTTCTATTTCTTTGAGCAGCTAATGCCTGTTTGTGTATTCAATGTTTGACCCCGGGGAAGTAAATAGTCAAAGATTTATCTATTAATGTGTAGATGGATAATTGTACTGAAATATGAAATGATCTAACCATAGTGGATATGTACTAAGTGGTACCTACCTGACTGAAATCTCAATCAAATTAAGAATGTAAAGATATTTACCAGAAATTATACACTTAGAATTCTACAGTTTTTAAATAGGTTCTGGGGTAAAGATGTTATCACCCAACTCAAAGATACTAATCCCAGCATGCACTATACTTAACTTACTTATTAAAGTATTTTTTATTAAAGTGTTAATTGACAGAAACTCAAAGTCAGTTTGTAATTTTATGTTGTAATAACCAAACTGTAAAAAAAAGTCTCCCATTCAGCTATCTCTGTATTTGATCTATTTTGGCTTACAGCTTGAAATTTATTTTTTTATTCACTTTGAGTCTTCCGCTATTCCCACATTACTGAATAGCATTTTGATTATTATTTGAAATCTGTGCAGTTGTTTTATAAAAGCTTTGCAGAAAAAACAGCATTATTAATAATTTAAAGAATGGTGATTTAAAGATACGATTAAACATTTCTTTAAAAAAAAAAACGACTGATTTGTTGTTTTTAAAAAAAAAATATTTTCACAACCTTTTGTGCGCTGCAGATTAATGTTTCTTTTTTTTAAGTGACAGGTCTGTTTTTAAAATAATGGTATGGTTGAAAGTAAACACTGGCATGTTGAGAAAGATGATATTTCTGACCATAAATCTAACCTGTATTATTGGAAAGATCTAAGGGCTAAGGACGCCATCTATCTTAAGCCCATGCCGGGCTGGCTGAGATACGATTGATAAGGCTGTGTTTTTGGTCATGGCAAATTCAAAGGAAAATCACTGATTTGTCATGGTAGAAAGCCATATCTAAAGTCATTGAACATGCGTTCTGTGACAAACTCCCCTTTCCAAGTGAGTTTACCACGAGTTCCTAGAGGAGCTTGCTTGCCAGCCTCCTGCCCACAGACTATGGACCCTGTGAAATATAATGTAAAAGTCTCAGTTCGTGTATTTGGACTATATGGTTCAGGAAACGAACAGCCACACGAACCAGAGACTACCGTGGAGCTTGTTAAGCCTAACTGCTACTTTGTAGCAATTTCCACCGCAGTGTTCTAAGTGTTCGTCTGGGTGGCCGCAATTCCTGTGGACGACCACGAGGTGACGGCCATCTTGTTCGCATGAAACCAGACAAAGGTGTTTGGTCGTCGAGTTCATGGGACTATTTTTGGATACTGAAACTCCCGAAAACCACTGGACTGGCAAGCCCTGATTCTCTGGAACTGTTTTGAGCATGGGACCATGCGTGCGGTCGGTCAAATTATGACTTCCAGGAAAATCCTGAACCCCTGAACCAATTTG